CAGAGGAGCAGGTTGAGGGTTGGTGGAATGGTTGGTACGCTCTCCAAGATCCAACACTGTGATACCAAGATCCAACATTGCATTTACATTTCCAACATTCGTTCGTTTGTAATTTATAAATTTTTGCCATTCTAGCAGGGGTGAGGTACCATCTTTGTTCCATTTTCCATTGATTTTCTCTCATAGCTTGAGAGCGAGTCAATTTTCTTGTCATTTTCCTTGCTTTCTCCCAATGATCTACCATTATTGTCCTGCCGATGTCTTTTGCCCACTTGATCATATTATATGATATTATTTCTTTTTCCTATCTTTGACCCATTAATATTTTATATAATTTACTTATCCTCTTCTCTCTTGTCCCCATCCAAATTTTATCTATGTCTTCCAATTCTTCTTCCAGCCCTTGCAGCTTAATATCCATTTTAAATCTTTCCTTTATTTGGGTATATAATGACCAGTGCATTTTATCATCTAAATGTTGAATCTCAGACACAGCTTTTAATTCTTAAAACTGAACTATGTTTTAAACGGAACATGTATAAGTGCCTATCAGTGGCCACATCCATGACTGGGTCCCCACAGGGCGGGACATAAAATTTTATTATTATTGTTGTTGTTGTTGTTGTTGTTGTTGTTACTATTATTATTACTATTATTAGAAATGGAAGAATGGGAAATCACCAAATAGGAATTCAAACAAATAGCTAGCACATGTAGGGGTAAAGTGAGAAAAGCTAAAGCACAGAATAAACTCAGGGTTAAGAACAATAAAAAGGCTTTTTTTGGGTATGTCAGCAGCAAAAGGAAGGAGGAAATGGTAGGGCCACTGTGTGGAGAAGAAGGCAAAAAGTTAACAGGGGACAGAGAAAAGGCAGAATTACTCAACACCTTCTTTGCTTCAGTCTTCTTAGAAAAAAAAGATGCTCAACCTGAGGATAATGGAGCAGAGGACAGAATAGGAGAATTTCAGCACAGAATAAGTAAAGAGATAGTACAGAAATATCTGGTTAATCTAAATGAATATAAGTCTCCAGGATCAGATGAATTACATCCCAGGGTATTAAAAGAACTGGCAAACATAATATCAGAACCATTGGCAGTAATATTTGGGAACTCCTGGAAAACAGAAGAAGTCCCAGCAAACTGGAGGAGGGCAAATGTTGTCCCCATCTTCA